AGTGTGAGCCATGTTCTTGACCAGTATTGTTTTCATTAGTTTTTTATTTTATTAGCAATAAAAACTAGACATAATAATATGAATCTCATCTTGAGCTGTAGTTCCCATAGTCCTTACATGTCATGGGAGAGACCCAGTGGTAGGTAATTGAATCACTGGGGCAGTTCCCCCATGCTGTTCTTGTGATTTTAAGTGAGTTCTCATGAGATCTGATGGTTTTTTAAGCATCTGGCATTTCTAAACCCTGCTGGCACTCATTCTGTCTCCTGCTGCCTTGTGAAGAGGTGCCTTCCACCATGATTGTAAGTTTCCTGAGGACTCCCAAGCAAATTTAAACCTCCCAGCCAAATTAAGCCTGTTTCCTTTATAAATTACCCAGTCTTGGGTATTTCTTCAAAGCAGTGTGAGAATGGACTAATACAGTAAATTGGTATCGCAGAGAAAGGGACACTACTATAAGGATACCCAAAAATATGGAATTGACTTTGAAATGGCCTAAAGGCAGAGGTTGGAACATTTTGGAGGGGTCAGAAGAAAACAGGAAAATGTGGGAAAGTTTGAAACTTCCTAGAGACTTGTTGAATAGCTTTGGCCAAAATGCTGATAGTGATAGGGGCAATGAATTTCAGGCTGAGGTGGTCTCAGATGGAGATAAGGAACTTTTTGGGAATAAAGGTGATTCTTACTATGCTTTAAGGAAGAGACTGGCAGCATTTTGCCCCTGCCCTAGAGATCTGTGAAACTTTGAACTTGAGAGAGATGATATAGGATATCTGGCAGAAGAATTTCTAAGTGGCAAAGCATTAAAGAGGAAGGAGCATAAAAGTTTGGAAAATTTGCAGCTTGATGATGCAATAGAAAAGAAAATCTAATTTTCTGGGGAGAAATTCAAGCCTGCTGCAGAAATTTGCATAAGTAACAGGAACTGAATGTTAATCACCAAGACAATGGGGAAAATGTCTCCAGGGCATGTTAGAAACCTTGGTGGCAGTCCTTCCCATCACAGACGTGGAGGCCTATGGAAAAAAATAGTTTTTTGGGCGGGGCCCAGGGCCCTTCCTGCTGTGTGCAGCCTAGGGACTTGATGTCCTACATCCCAGTTGCTCCAGGAATGGATAAAAGGAGCCAAACTACATGGCTTCCGAGTGGGCAAGCCTCAAGCTGTGGCAGCTTCCACATGGTGTTGAGCCTGTGGGTGCATAGAAGTCAAGAATTGAGGTGTGGGAACCTCCACCTAGATTTCAGAGGATGTGTGGAAACTCCTGGATGTCAAGGCAGAAATTAGCTGCAAGGGGTGGAACCCTCGTGGTGAACCTCTGCTAGGGCAATGTGGAAGGGAAACAGACCCCAAACACAGAGTCCCCACTGGGGCACTGCCTAGTGGAATTGTGAGAAGAGGGCCACCATCTTCCAGACCCCAGAATGGTAGATCCACTGGCAGCTTGCACTGTACACCTGGAGAAACCACAGACAGTCAGTTCTGGCCAGTGAAAACAGCAGGGGCAGAGCTGCCCAAGGCCATGCCTATACTTGAGCATGCCCAAGTATGCCCAAGGTCATACTTCTTGCATCAGTATGACCTAGATGTCAAATGTGAAGTGAAAGGAGATCATTTTGGAACATTTAGATTTAATGACTGGCCTATTGGATTTTGGACTTGCATGGGGCCAGTAGCTCCTTTGTTTTGGCCAATTTCTGCCATTTGGAACAGGTGTATTTATGCAGTGTCTGTACGCCCATTGTATATAAGAAATAACTAATTTGCTTTTGATTTTGCAGGCTCATAGGCATAAGGGACTTGCCTTGTCTCAGATGAGACTTTGGACTTGGACTTTTGAGTTAATGCTGGAATGCGTTAAGACTTTGGGGGACTGTTGGGAAGGCAATGATTGTGTTTTGAAATGTGAGGACATGAGATTTGGGAGGGGCCATGGGCAGAATGATATGGTTTGACTGTGTCCCCACCCAAATTTCATCTTGAATTGTGGTTCCCATAATCCCCACATGTTGTGTGAGGGACCTAGTGGGAGGTAATTGAATCATGGGGACAATTTCCCCATACTTTTCTCGTGATTGTTTCTCACAAGATCTAATGGTTTTTTAAAGTGTCTGACATTTCCCTTGCTGGCACTCATTTTTTCTCCAACCACTTCATGAAGAGGTGCTTTCTGCTGTGATTGTAAGTTTCCTGACTCTCCCCAGCCATGCAGAACTGTTGAGTCAATTACACCTCTTTCCTTTATAAATTACACAGTCACAGGTATTTCTTCATAGCAGTGCGAGAATGGACTAATACAATGATGTTCATGTATTTAAGGTTTGTACTACCCATTTATAGAAGAAATCCATCAAAGTTTGATCAGTTTTAATTTTTTCCCCTGGTCCCTGGTTCTATGGCAACTTTTATTTATGGAGGCTTCCTTTGTGACATGCAGACCCATAGCAAATGTTCTTTGTGAATTAACTTTTTGATGTGCTGCTGGAATCAGCTGGCTAGTATTTTGTTGAGGCTTTTTGCATATATGTTCATGAGGCATATCGGCCCATAGTTTTCTTTTTGTTGTTATTGCTGTGTCTTTGCCAGATTTTGGTGTCAGGATGATACTAGTTTCATGGAATGAGTTAGGGAGGAATCTCTCTTCCTCAGTTTTTTGGAATATCAGTAGGGTTGGTACTAGCTGCTTCTATGTATGTCTGACTACCTAATCTTCAGTCATTTAATTTGTAAATTTATTTTAGTGAATGGCTATATTTCCCAAATGGTGTTCCACAGAACATTAGTTTCATAAGATGTTAAATAACATTCTACAAAAAAGTTAATGTTTTGTGGCCAAATAAGTTTGGAGAATGTGTCATACTACCATTCCCATCTTGGCAATTAATGGTGAACATGAAGCATTAAGAAATCCTGCAGTAATGCAACCTGTTTGTTTAACCCAGCATTCTAGTACTCCCCCACTCTTTGTAGAAAGTCTTTAAATAGTTTGCTTCCATGCATGGTTTGGAACATGCTTGTATAGGATATAAGATAAGAAACAAACTCATTTTTCTCCCAAGCAGTCAGTTTTTCTATCGACATTTGTTGAAGATCTCTTCCTTCTCTGCTTGTTTATAGGGCTTCCTTAATCATATATTAAATTCTTAAATGTCCTGGGATCCAGTCTGGTGCTGACTCTTGACTCTTTAGCTTTATTTATTTATTTTTGAGACAGAGGCATCTGTCAGTATTTTTGAGGGAGGCTTATTTGAATGCAGAATAATCAGCCATGCACAGTGATGGTCAAATGTAAGCACTCTAGAGCTAAAATTAGGGCCAAGTGAGTTATCAGTCATAGAGTCCTACTGAGGAAATTTTGAGTGGAAGGCCACACTTGCAGGGTATTCAGAATTTGTCAGTACTCAGCACATCATTAGCAGCTTAAATGAGCAAGAGCTGCTATCCTTCTTTTCCAATTGATAAAGTGACAGTAGTTAGCATCCTGAGGTTAGTCATGGCATAATTTTGAGTCAGATCCTTCTGGAAACTTATCCATTCTTACTTTCCTTTATAATGCTCTGGCTTCATGAGGACATTTAGTAAAATTACACTTGAACTACTAGCAATTATAGACTTAATCACATTTTGTCCTGAGTTGTAATTTTTTTATTTATCCGTCTCTGCTGGCCTGCAGCTGGCAGTAAGCAGATAAGTTTTTGTTTGCAATTGTGAGACCAGTGCATTATTTTGCTCAGTATATCACAGTGGTTAGCCCACATGTCGGACTCCAAAAGCTCATACGTGGGCTACTTAGAGGATGCTCAGCTCCCTTATTCTGTGATTTTGTGATACTGTATATGTGGAAGTGTCCCAGAATTCCTGGGGAAGGAAAAGAGAAGCAGCAAACACAAACATTTTTTTTCCCATTTATTTATTTTATTGCATTTTAGGTTTTGGGGTACATGTGAAGAACATGCAAAATTGTTGCATAGGAACACACGTGGCAGTGTGATTTGCTGCCTTCCTCCCCATCACCTACATCTGGCATTTCTCCCCTTGCTATCTCTCCCCAGCTTCCCACCCCGCACCGTCCCTCCCCTATTTCCCCCCAACAGACCCCAGTGTGTAGTGCTCCCCTCCCTGTGTCCATGAAACACAAACATTTTTTTAATAAATAAAAGAATGTGTGGATGGAAAAACTCTAAGATATTAATAGTAGCTATAGACACATGGTGGGATGTTGCTGGGTGTTCTCTCTTTCAAATAGCCTTGGCACCCTGTGCTGGGCCCTGGAGAATGACCCATGAAGACTATCCTTGGGCTTGCTCCCCTGCCCTCTGCTTTCTGCTTAGGTTCAGCCAGTGGAGAGGGGGAGGAGAGTGGAGTTGGGGTATCTATTCCTCTGGCCCCATACATACAGAATTGTCTTGGGCTGGCCGAATCCCTTAAATGGCAGTCAAATCTTGTCTTAGTGTACTCAGGATGCTCTAAGGAATTATCGTGGACTGGGTAGTTTATAAGCAATGGAAATTTATTTCTCAGAGTTCTGAGGGTAGAAGACTGAGATCAGGTTACCAGCACTGTCAGGTTCTGGTGAGGACCCTCTTCCAGGTTGCAGACTGTCATCTTCTCCTTGTATCCTTGCATGGGGAAAGAGAACAGGAGAGCTCCCTGGGGTGCCTTTTATAAGGGCACTAATCCCATCATGTAGGAAATCAGTACATAACACAGCTCATCTCCAGGAGGGCTTCTCCAAGTCACTCTCTCCTTTTGGGTTCTGGTCACTACTACTTCCCCTAGCCTGTTGAGGCCTAGGGGTGTTGAGAGTCCCACTGTTTCTAGCTGCAGGATACTTCCTTATTCTTGCTGATTTCTTTTTCATCTTTCTAAAGATGCTAGTGATCATTGCTCAAATAGCTCACAGTCAATGGTACGATCTAGGTGCTCAATTAAAGAAATGTTGGTTGCTGTTAGTTATCCTTTGGCTAAGCAGGTGTGTGCTCACATATTGTTTTTGTCTTAGATCCAAGAGTTGAAGATTGGCTCCTCATGTCCTCGCCTCTGCCGCAAACCATCCTCCTAGGACTGTATGTCTATTTCGTCACTTCTCTGGGACCAAAGCTTATGGAAAATCGCAAGCCCTTTGAACTCAAGAAAGTGATGATAACGTACAATTTTTTCATAGTACTATTTTCTGTGTATATGTGTTATGAGGCAAGTGTCTTCAGGATTCCTAATGGGAGAATTTTACCTGAGTCTTTCTATGTGTCACTATGTTTTCTGTTATAAGGGTAACCTTTGCAATTTAAGGAATTTAGAAACTGATCTCACTAGAGCACATATTTGCCAAAATAGTGTTAGGTATAGACCAAATAATAAACTCATTTGAGGATCTCAGTATAATCTTTCTCACAGACAATGAGAAAAATTAACATTTAGTCCATGAATTTGTACATAGTTGCCTTAATGAATGATTGAAGGGAATCCATAAATTTTAGTTTTGAGAAAACTCGTAATTAAAGTAGTGAAGCTGGTAAGTGGAGGGCTGACATTTGAACCCAGGTCTGTCTGACATCAGAGTTCATCTTGACTCAGTAATGAGTTGTCATAATCATGGTAGAAACCTTTGGTTTCTGGATATTCTGATGAACTATAGGATGGTAGACTGTTTTGGTTGGTTTAGCTGGGCTTTGTGGGGACAGAGAGCATAGACTTAGTAAAGCAGTAGGTGAGGGAGCCTGTTCCTTAATTTTTTTTCCCCATTAACTCTTTAATTCATTACTGTTCCTTAATTGTCAATAAGAGAGACAGGGCTCTTCCAGGACCCTAAAACAGATTCACGAATTCTCTCTCTTCCCCTGTACTATTAACATGCCTCAGCCACCCCCATGCATGTTCTTTTCTGAGATTCCTTGCTGCTTTTCCAACTCTGGCTGGCTTCGTCATCCTTTTATATTAAATTCCTCTATAGCATAGCTTGTGCTTAGTCATAACTAGGGCTCACAAGGGCCCAATATGGCCCCACTGACCTCTCCTGATACCATAGTCTCTCCACATGCATTTTTCTGACCTGACTCTTGCTACAGATCCACCAGATTTGATCACTTTAAATCTACTCTGGCTGACCAGGTATGACGGCTTACACCTGTAATCTCAGCACTTTGGGAGGCTGAAGTAAGAGGATCACTTAAGCCTAGCAGTTTGAGACCGGCCTCAACAACATAGGGAGACTTCGTCTTTAAAAAAAAAAAAAAAAGTAGCCTGGTGTGGCAGTACACACCCGTGGTCCCAGCTACTTGGGAGACTGAGGTGAGAGGATCACTTGAGCCTGGGAGG